TTTTTTTGCTATAGGGCGCATGCGCTCGCCAGACAGACAGAGACAGAGAGATAGAAAAAGAGAAATCAACCCCCCAGGGGGGATGGCCATGCTGCAATCCCTTCTCTTCCATTCTCCTCTTGGGATCTTGGGCACGCATGCACACACGCCCGGCATGAGTTTAAGCCACCAGGTCCGGGACTCAAACCACACTCAACTATGTGGGAGTCCAGCGACATAGCCATTACACTAACTGCTGGTCCCTCATTCAGGTTTATTATTATTATTATTATTATTTGACCAGAGAGAGAGGGAAAATGAGAAAGCAAGCTACCAAGTCTGGGACTCAAACCGTGGTTGACCATATGAGAATGTCCAGTGCCTTAACCACTATGCCACCTGCTGGTCCCCTTCAAAATCCTGATATATAGTAAGCTATGGTTTACTATTGATATATTCTATTCTCCCTACTGCATTTGTAATACTAAACATTGTCCCTCTTACCTATCTGTGATTTTGTTTCCGTTATCCCACATCCTCCCCCTCCCCATTCTTCCTCTGGTAGTCACCCTTCAGCTCTCTACTTCCGTGAGGTTATTTTCTTCAATGTCTACATATGAGGGGAAACATGGTATGTCTCTTTCTTTCTTTTTAAAGAATTACTCATTTACTATTATTTTTACTATGATTATTATTATTATTATTGCTATTATTAAACTTGATCAGACAGAGAAAGAAACAAGAAGTGAGAAAGCAAGCCACCAGGTCCAGGACTCGAATGCGGTTGGCCATGTGACAGTCCAGCACCTTGACTACCGCACTACCTGCCAGTCTCTTTCTGCACCTGGCTTATTTCACTAACCATAATGTCCTCTAGGCTCATCCATTTACCTCAAATGACAGGAATGTATCCTTTTAATTGCTGAGTAGTATTTCATTTATACACATGCACACACACACGCACGCACACACACACATACACACATTTATCACATTTTATGTACCTGTTCATCTGTTGATGAACATTTAGGTTGATTCTACATCTTGGCTATTGTGAAAATATTAAATCGAATTGCATCTTTTGGGATGTATACAGAAATTCACACCGGAAAGAGGCTGTATCATTCTACACAGTAATTTTGAAATCGCTATCTAACTTGCATTTCACAATGACTCTAGGAGGCTGGCAGGGGCAAGAAGAGACAGCTGAGATTTTTTACAGAAAGGCAACCCAAAATCCAGATGTTAAGTAACTTTTCCAATGAGTGGCAGAATGAGGACTTGAACTTAGTTAATCATTCTGCAGCAAACATTTGTGGATTCTCATGCTCCATGTTCTTTCAGCTTTTGTGTAACCTCTGGAAGTCAGGAACATTTTTCCCATTTAAGAGAAAGGTTCTGGGGACCAGCGGATGGTGCAATGATTGTGTCAATGGACTCCCACATAGTCGACCGTGGTTTGAGTCCCGGATCCAGTGGCTTAAAACTCAGGCCAGGGGGAACCAGCAGTTAGCGTAATGGCTATGTCGCTGGACTCCCACATAGTCGTCCGCAGTTCGCGTCCTGGACCCGGTGGCTTAAAACTCACGCCGGGCGCGTGTGCGTGTGTGCCCAAGATCCCGAGAGGAGAATGGCGGAGAAGGGATTGCGGCGTGATCATCCCCCCTGGGGGGTGACTTCTCGCTTTCTGTCTCTATGTCTCTCCCTGTCTGTCTGGTGAGCGCACGCGCCCTATAGTGAAAATCTCTCAAAAAAAAAAAAAAACTCAGGACAGACACGTGTGCGTGCGTGCATGCCCAAGATCCCAAAACAAGAATGGAGGAGAAGGGACTGTGGAATGGCCATCCCTCCTGGGGGGTTAATTTCTCACCTTGTGTCTCTCTGTCTCTCTGGAGAGCACAAGCACCCTATAGCAAAAATCTCTCTAAAAAGGAAAAAAATAAGAGTAAGGTTCTGAGAGGGGGTTACTCACTGGCTCTTGTGCAGTGCTTGCTCCGTGCCAGGCACTTTCTATACTCTCCACAACACTTACGGTACTATGCCTGTTTTAGCAAAGATGAAGGTGAAGCACAGAGACGTTGGGTAACTTTTCCGAAGTCACACAGCCAGGAAGTGGTAAAGTTGAGACTTGAGAACCCAGGAATTCTGAATACAGACTGGCTTAAGAGATCAGAAATCACTGGTCCCCATCCCAGTGCCAGTGAAGGAAGATGGAGGACAAAGCCCTTTGTTCCCAGGACCTCTCTCTTTCTCCCCTCCTCTCCCTCCAGCTCCTGTGTTCAAGGACATGAGGCCAGAGCTCTTCCTAGCCTCAGGGAATGACTGGGGAGAGGTGGGATGGAGGAGCTCAGAGTCCTCTGTCAGGCACGTGGTCAAACCTCCAGAGACAGGTGCCATTCACTGTCCCCGACTTGGTAACAAAAACAGCAGAAATTAATTTTCTCAGCCTTCTGGAACCTGGAAGTCCAGACCAGTGCCTCGGCAGGGCTAATTCCTCTGCTCGCTGTGACGGAACGATCTGTTCCAGGCCGCTC